AAAAACATTGATTTTGTGAAGCTCTCATACCATGAACCTGCCTTAGAGCCGACTACTATTTATTATTACTTATTTAACCTAAACAAAAGAAGAGTTTTTGTATATACCATTTATACTTTACGACAATTTTATATCTGTTAAAGGACGTATGTCCCGAGGGTCCAAACATAAGATAGTGTTTTGAGTATATATCATCTATATATAATATATACATGATCTATATATCAGATGAAATATATGTATTATATATATATATATATATATATATAATACATATGAAATATAATACATATATTTCATCTGATATATAGACAACCTGACATTGTGCAGTAGCGATGCATATTTTTACTTTAAAATGCAGATGAAAAATATGTTTTCAAATTAAAATAGCTTATGTCGACTACTGCAGTGCAAAGTGGCAAGTAATCATTTCTTAAACTATTTCTTCCTGAATTGAGATGGAGTTTACATCAGTCCACAGACCTACCTTTGGGCAGCATTACTAATTATACTAATTATTATATATATATATATATATATATATATATATATAAATTATGCAAATACACAGACTTATAAATTTCTGATGAACAGAATAATATTTGAAAATTAATTTCATTATTACAAAAATTAAATAATATAGAGAAGTCAGGGGCTAGTTATAACAAATTTTATTTAAATTATTAAATCCTGAGATTTAAGTTAATATTTAAATTAATAGATCTTAAGAGAATTGACTTATTTCTAAGTAATACTTTTCATACATCAATACATATTATAATTTATATACATAAAATATATAATGTTTCTTGTAATATAAATTTTAATCAATAATCAACGCAAAGTATAATCAAGATCGCAATACAAATAAAAAATACAGTGTCGCTCATCATTAATTTTTGTTTGGAACACAAATGTCATTTTGTGAGTCTTTTGCAGATTTAGATGACCAAAATAATGCCATAATTGACTAATCACCGAAAATTAATTTGATTATTCTACAAAACTAATAAATTACTATGTTTTATTGTCGGCTTGAGTTCGGAACAGAAATGTCATCGTACATATATATCCAAATAGAGTCCTATGATATCGCGATCTGTGTTTCGCACTATTGCACTCTGGTCACATATCAAAGATAATCATCCCGGTTATTACGTTCCGAAGCGTTCATATCTTGGCGAGTTTGCAAACACACATTATTACCTGATTGTAGTTTGCCATAGCAGGTAAACTTAATAGGCAATCGTGCAACTCTAAGTTCAAATATTTGTTGTAATCCACATATTCTTAATCAAAAGTGCTTTAATTTTATACTGGTGTAATCTAATTAAAGTCTGGCAAAGACTGAGCGATCTAAACTTAATCCTGAACAACATTCTGAACATATTATTTATACTGTACTAACATATGTATATGTGTGTATATGTGTATGTATATATATGTATATATGCGTAGGTTTATATGAGTGTACATAAATATTTTTGCCTATACTTTTTAATTATTTATTTAATTCTAGTCTCTACTACCTTTCCTATCTTTTATATTTGGTTTGTTGTTAAGTGTTGCTGTTTGTTAATTTTTCTCTTATTGTATAGTTACTTTACCAATCCACATATATTATAATTACCTAGATATGCTAATTTTCATACTGTTTTTAGATCCACTGATGATGACATTAAATTGAATGTCGAAACGTTTGGAAATAAAAATTATTTTATAAATCTTTGGCTTTTCTTTGTTTGATGTATCGCCCTCAAGAACTCACTCATATATATATATATATATATATATATATATATATATATATATATATATATATATATATATATATATATATGTATGATAGATATTTGATAAATTATATTCATTCAGGTATGAGGTTCACCACAGATATCTCAAAAACAAGTAAAGTTAAGATTTTTTTCAACAACAAAAATTTGAAAAAAGAGGCTAAAAAATTTGCAACCAGCCATAACTTTGATTCTTACAATTTTTTAACTTCCCGTAGGGTAAGTTATTGTAATGGGCCGAAAATCGGAATTGAAAATTTTTACATTTCTCGACGTTTTGAAGGTTTCTGAACATTTTGGCATACCTCAGAAAAAATGGATGTGTGTGTGTGTGTGTGTATGTGTGTGTGTGTGTGTATGTATGTGTGGATACAAATTTCCAGTCACGTTTTAGGGCGCACGGATCAACCGATTTGAATGGTTCAAAAAACATTCGATTCCTATTGATAGGGAAAAGAGCTGATTAGTTTTTGGCAAAGGCAGGTCCAGCCGTTTCGGAGATACGGAGCAAAGAGTGCGGAAAATAGAAATCGAATTTTTGAGAGAACGGAGTATCCGATTTGAATGATCTAAAAAACATTCAATTAGTAATGATTGGGAGAAGTGTTTATTAGTTTTTGGCAAAGGCAGGCCCAGCCATTTCGAAGATACGGAGCTAAATATGTAAAAAATGGCAGTTTTTGAGAGAACTAAGCGTCCGATTTGAATGATTCAAAAAACTTTCTGCTTGTCTTAACAAAATAATTGATTTTGGAAAAAAAAATTTTTGTTCGATTTTTTTTTTTTTTTTTAGTTTTTTGTTGAAACAAATAATTTCAACTTTGCAATTCAGTTTATATAATTCTTATAAATATTAGACAATGTTACAATATTTATAATAATCTATTTGAAAACATTCAGTATTCCTCGAACATTTCGTTACGGTACGGGAAGTTCCAGCAATTTGCCTTAAGGCACGATGCCACCCACCCCACTAGTTAGGATTTTTTTTCTTACAACAAAATTTGAATGTAGAGGAAAAAAGATTTGCAACCACCCATCACTTTGATTCTTACAATTTTTTAAGATTTTTTTACAACAAAATTTGAATGTAGAGGAAAAAAGATTTGCAACCACCCATCACTTTGATTCTTACAATTTTTTAAGATTTTTTTTTACAACAAAATTTGAATGTAGAGGGAAAAAGATTTGCAACCTGCCATCACTTTGTTTCTTACAAAATTGTTATCGAAAGATAAAAGACGATGTTTGGAAATCCACCACAAAAATATTTTTTAGCGGTTTTAGTTTTTTGGTTGTGAGCACTGTAGTTTATTTCACGAGAATTTAATATATTTTTTGAGTAAAGATTACTTATTTATTTTATAAGATATATTAGCAATTTTAAGTTATATTCAGTCTTTTTTATATAATCCCTATAAAAGTTTACACGTGGGTGGGATAAAAAGGACCAACTGAACCTTTTCCCTGGCAAAGATGTAAACAATACAAAATAACAAATAAAAAAGTAAATGAATTTAAAAAAAACTAGTTTACAAGAGATAAGTATAATAAACTCTGCTGATGAATATTTCTGGCAAAATACCAGATCAAGGTTGTATACAGTATAATCACTGTAAAAAATATAACCATTGAATTTATATTTTGCGTTGGTTGAATATAGTAGCTATTATTTTATAGAATACCTTTTAAATTAAAAATGAAACATTGGACCTGTTTCCCCAAAGCCATCAGATTTTACCCCACCAAAGGAGTAAAAAGGACCAAGTGATAAATTTTTTAAAAATAGTAAAAAAACACATTTCTACAATTATGAATTATCTAGGAGTTTTATTGAACAAAGTCAGATATTAAATTTTTTGATGTGTTATTTGTTTTAGTATAATTAGTTTGGTTTTCAAAACATTGTTTGCAAAAAACTATTCAAAATCAAATTGGGCCTTTGTGCCCCGCTCTACTCTGTTTTAATTTCTGGTTTTCTATAAATTGATTCAATAATTTGTCACAATAATTTATAATATAATTTAAATATAAAAACTAGCTGTAAGTGGAATTCTGTCTTGAGGCAATTATGGCATCGTGCCTTAAGGCAAATTGCTGGAACTTCCCGTACCGTAACGAAATGTTCGAGGAATACTGAATGTTTTCAAATAGATTATTATAAATATTGTAACATTGTGTAATATTTATAAGAATTATATAAACTGAATTGCAGAGTTGAAATTATTTGTAAAGTATATTAGAACTATAGTCAGAATTAAAAATAAAATCTGAAATATTTTCGATATACAAAAAACTAAAAAAAAAAAAAAAAAAAAAAAAAAAAAAAAAAAAAAAAAAAAAAAATGAAACAAAATTTTTTTTTCCAAAATCAATTATTTTGTTAAGACAAGCAGAAAGTTCTTTGAATCATTTAAATCGGACGCTTAGTTCTCTCAAAAACTGCCATTTTTTACAGATTTAGCTCCGTATCTTCAAAATGGCTGAGCCTGCCTTTGCCAAAAACTAATAAACACTTCTCCCAATCATTACTAATTGAATGTTTTTTAGATCATTCAAATCGGATACTCCGTTCTCTCAAAATTCGATTTCTATTTTCTGCACTCTTTGCTTCGTATCTCCGAAACGGCTGGACCTGCCTTTGCCAAAAACTAATCAGCTCTTTTCCCTATCAATAGGAATCGAATGTTTTTTGAACCATTCAAATCGGTTGATCCGTGCGTCCTGAAACGTGACTGGAAATTTGTATCCATACATACATACACACACACACACACACACACACACACACACACACACATCCATTTTTTCTGAGGTATGCCAAAACGTTCAGAAACCTTCAAAACGTCGAGAAATGTAAAAATTTTCAATTCCGATTTTCGGCCCATTACAATAACTTACCCTACGGGAAGTTAATAAGTTATATTTTAAAATAATTAAATATAGCTGTTATACAATAATTAATTGTTTTTCAATAAATTCCCTACATTATTTATTGAAAATATGAGTATATTTTATATGGAAACTATTGATTATGGTTTAATTCTTTATCTAAAACTATAGAAATATGGTAATATAAATGATGTCTACTTATGAATCAAATACCCGATTATTGTTAACTGATGTTAAGCAGCAAACATAAACATTATATGAATTAAAACCATAAAAAATAGTATTTATGAATAAGTTATATTATAAAAAATAATTTTATTCTATTACCTTGTAATTTCTTAAATTGTCCACAACACAAGCCAGTAAGGCATCTCGTCCAACAGTTACTGTCACATTAGGAATTGGCTCAGCAAATCTTGGAAATGACAGTTCTGAAAGAAAATAAACACAAATCATTAATAAAAATATCAATTTAAATTTTGAATTTGTATATCAATCTTATATATAATATTGAACTAACAATACCACCATACATTTTATTTTTCGTACATTTATCGCTACAGTACGCACGACTCTATTATGTAAATTTAAAAATATGGTCAAGTAATATAGCATATCAAAAATTTATTGGTTTTCAGCAATTCCATACGCGTTTACCTATAAAAATTTATCCCTTTCAGAAATGGCTACGCTTTCGTATAATAAACTTTATATTGCATAAGAATATAATAAAAGTTAGAGCGCTTAAAATGATACCGTATCGGGTTGAAAAAGTATAGGTAAATAATTGGAATACAGAACAAAAAGTATAACATACAAAAAAATTAATCGTTGAAGGTTTTAAAATTTCTGATAATATAATAATTTGAAGAAAAAAAACAGTTAGTGAATGTCTAATTGGGGCTAATGCAGGTATAAGCCAACATTTTTTGATCCCTGTTATACCTTGTACAATGAGAACTGGTTTTAATAACTTATTTAGAAAATCTTCAATTTTTTATTTATTTGTACAGCTTTTGTTATTAATAATATCATCTGTGTAGGATAACTTCAAGTCAATATAAGTTTTAAAATTGTAAAATATTTTAATATTTGATGTATATTTGATGTATTGGAGCAGCAGGTTAAAAATAGGTTCCTATTGTAAAAATAACATTTGGGAAATGCGGTTATAATCTAACAGATGGAAACCTCTCATATAATTTTTTTCTGATTCGAATTATAATTTAATTCGCCCACAGAGCTGCCTTCTGAGAGAGCAGCCCACACATTAGGAATTACTTTCAAACGTTTTTTTTTTTGTTCAAATATAATTTAAAAATCATAAAACAACTGCTTGAAGAACCACATTCTAAAGGATCAAAAATACTTTAAATTGCTCAAATTGCCTATTTATTAATTTATGATTTAAATCCGCAATTATAAGAAAAAACTTTTTTGTAACACACGAATGAAAAATATGTTTCCAGAATATACTCAAATTTCCTAAACTAGTTATATGTGCAAGGGCATTTTACCTTGAGGCAATTTTTGTAGATAATCAATTTCTCAATAAACAATTATATGTAGCAAAATTCAAATGTATGACGATTCAATTTTAAAAGTTTGCCGTGACTCATCTAAATTTCAATATTTTTTTAAAATAAACTACTTTTTTCAGGTCCATAATATTTAAAGAAATTTCTTAAAATCATGACTTCTAGAAGTTTTCTCTAAATATTACGGTCCTGAAAGGGTTGGTTTAATTGAAAAAATATAGAAATTTAAACAATTCAAATCAACATTAAACGCGGAGAAAACATAGATTTAGTATGTAGGATTTTGAGTTAATTATGGTTTAAAAATCGGTTCCTATTGCAAATATATCATGAGTCATAAAATAAATATAGAAACCTCTCACACTATATATTTTCATTCGAGCTATAATTCAAATCGCCCACGGACTAGCTTTCAGGAAAAATATACTTTATTTTTATTACAAATGTTTAGCCCACATATTGGGAATTACTTTGAACCGCATTTCATTTCCATTTCGATCAATGTCACTGCGTACCATTGACAATCCATGTGATATAGGTATATATTAAAACAAATCTGAGCTGAATTATAACTTTTTTTTTATTTATTATCATATTTATTACTGTCCAGTTAAGGACATTTAGCAATGTTGTTGATTAACAACTGTCAGTTGCAATAGGAAATTATAACAAATAAGCAAGTTATATGAAACCTTTAGCGACTAGGGTGTAAATCCGTACAAATGCAACGGAAGTCCGTTACGCCCAAACTGTTCGTCATTCGCTCTCGATGAGATCATTTATATGCAAGTCGATTGTGATTAGTCGTTGTATATGTGAATAGATTTCTGTCGTTGTATGCGTACCGGTATTAACGTTGTATGCATACCGATATCAACAAGAAAATCGGCTTAGATAAATACATTAAAGTAACATTTTAAAGTTATATCTTAATACAAATCTTGTTTTAATGAAAAATGCTTGAATCAGAAGAATATTTTACTCTGTTCCTCAAAAATAATAAAACAAATTAAACATTTAGGCCGTGTACTAAACGTAAGTTAATTGATTAGAAATTATTTCTATATTACTCGTAGTCTCTATAAAGCTTTGAAGTTATTAAAAGGAAAATATTTTTAGGCAAGATTGATATTACAACTGTTCAAAGAATGAGATTATATCGCTAGCAAAAAAGTAAAAAAAAATACAAACAGTTAATGAATGTATGTTAATTTTAATTACATGAATATTGACGTTGCACAATTACAATTAGTGAAGTTGCGAAAACAATATTCGGTTAGGCGTTGTTTAACATAATCCACTGTGTGAACGAATATTATAGAATTTATTAATCAGCAATTACTTCATTTCTTCTATGAAGGTTCAATTCTAAATGCTAATTGCAATGACAAACCAATCATGTCATATTTGAAGTATGACTTTGATTACATTATTGTTTTTAAATAATATACATATTTTTAACGCTATTATAAATATATAATTTATAATTTATTATTATATAAATGTGTATAATGGTTGACACTAATAAAAGTGTGCATCACGAGTGTTACCATATTACTAATAAACATTATTCAAAATTGTTATATGGTGTATTTATTTTTACTTAAATGTCATCTTGTACAGTAGCTACACTCGCACGCGCACACTTTTTCATTTTGTCATTTTAGTAACCCACTAATTTGCCATTTATCTCGATAAATGATGAAATCTAAAAATAATTCTCGATTCTAGATCAAAATTTTCTTACGGAAAAGCTTAAAAACATCTGCTCTGTCCGCTGGAAGCTTTTCAAAACAATACTTAGATATTGGCGACGGAAAGAAATACTATCGATAAAACTAGGTACGTCAAATTATTTATCAATTATTGCATAGTCACAGTCTTGCAGGATAAAATTATCTCAAAACTTTATTTCGTTCATATTCAAAGAACACATGATCCTGAAACTCAATGATACAGATATATTTATCACAATCAGAACTGCAAGTCTTGTAAAGCCAACTACAGCATATTTTCGATGTTCGCTACATCACCGACATTGAATATATACTCGTTTTTCGGTTTTATTCAAGGATACTTTATGAATAGACAGACGGAATACACTATGGGATTCATTTGAATAGAAAATTATGCTAAGTTGCGATTCACTGATCGCATTTCGCGCTCACAAAAGATTGTATTATCTGCGGAAATTGTGTGTATGCATTTCGCCTGTTGTGAGCGATTATACAGGGAATAAATAAACATGTGATAGCAGGGAATGGCGGAAACGGATAATTAGAGTGATACGTAAATTTAATTATGAGCTCTGTTTTCGGATAATCATCCAGAGTGAGGAAATCAATTTACATCGGAGCATGGAAGAGGAAAAAACATTAAGAAAATGACCATATTATTGATTTTATAAAAAAATAGATAACTAGAAAATCTAATATCGTCCTCCTAATTTTATTTTATCTTCAGTAACTAAAAGTTTTGAGAACTAATTTGTACTTGCATTATGATTTCCACATATACTCAAATGCAAGTACAAATTAGATTTCAAAATTTCCAGTGCTTCGACACAATTTAATTAATATTATCTAAAGATGCACATTATTGAATACAACTAGTGGGGTGTATGACATCGTGCCTTAATTGCTGGAACTTCCCGTACCGTAATTAAAAATCTTGGTACGGAACCCAATAAAATTTACACAAAATGTGTACACATTTTGAAAATCTCTATAAATTATCTGATAATTTGATGTGCATATGTCTAATGATCATTTTTGACCGCCAAAAGGCAATTTTACTTATTTTTATTGAGAGCCCATAACCGCTAGACATGCTTTCCCAAAATTTTGGAAAAGTTTTTTTTCACCGTTCTCTTAAAAACTGAGTTACCGTTTTTGGCACTTTTTGTCTCGTATCTTCGAAACGGCTTGGCTGCCTTTCCCAAAGCTAATCAGCACGTCTCCTTATCAATACGAATCGAATGTTTTTTTTAATTATTCATATCGGTTTGATCCGTGTTCCCGAAATCGTCGACGAAAATTGTATACACACACACATACACACACGCATACATCAATTTTTTAAGGTGTGCCAAAATGTTCAGAACTTAAAAACGTAAAGATTTATAAATTTTCATTTTCGATGTTTTTGCCCTACGGTAAGTTAATGAATATTTATTTACATCTTAAAATTATGTATTAACCACAATATTAATTCTCTCTTTTTTATCAAATCTTTTATTAAGCAAAAATCTACAGGGTGTGTATGAATAATACCATTAAGTGTCAATAAATTTTAAAATTATGTTTATCTGATTCCAAAGAGCGATGTTTTTTTTTGACGTAAATCAATTTTTTGTCCACGATTTCGGTGGACTAGAAAATTTTAGCAAAGGTAGGTAGAGCCGTTGGAAAGATCCGGAGTAAAAAGTGTAAAAACAGCAATTTGTAAGAGTACGTATCATCCGATTAGAATTAAGCAAGAAACAAGGAGGCTAGTCCAGGGATTTCACCATTTGCAACAAATTTCAAAATTTTCTTAGCAGTCCAAATTATTTTGAAATTTTTAAAAAATTGCTTAAAAATCAACAGAAATTTTCAAAAATACAATGAAAACGATGTATTGAAATTGCAATGGTATTTTATATGATTTTGAAAAATACGAATTAAGATTTTATTCATTAACTCCGGTCGAGAATGTTTTGTTTACTTCTTGTAAAGATACATAAGGGTTTGTGCGACGAAGTCGTTGCAATATAAAATATGAATGATATTATTTACTTCACACATTTATAATAATTTATTTGAACATATTTAATTTTTTTTTTAATTACTTATCAACTTTTAGTGATTATTAATCATTTTTATTACTAGGATATTTAATTACAGTACGAAAGT